GCACTCTGCTCAGCTCCCTCGCGCGCCGCAGAGTGAGGCTGGGAGCCGGAATATGACATCACATTCCGGCTCCCAGCTTCACTCTGCGGCACGCGAGGGAGCTGAGCAGAGTGCTCAGAGGAAGTGCTCCCTCGCCAGCCGCCCGCCAGCACCCAGCATGTCAGTTAGCCGCAAGGCTAACTAGGCATTTACCCTGGGCATTTGGGGGCGGCGTTTTTTGCCGCCCCTTAAAAATGCCGCTCAAGGCAAATGCCTTGTTTGCCTCGCGGCTAATACGTCTCTGAGAATGTCTACACTCCTTGTGCACATTGGAACACTGTCATTCCTATAATGATATTGCACATTTATCTAGTTGAAACAGAAAGCTGAGTGAGAAGACCCTTGGGAAAAACAGTATACAAATACCAAAATACACGGAAGGGTATAAACTGGTATAAACCTCTCCAGCAAGCATAACTAAAATATAGCACCCATCAGTCTTGTGGTATGCTATTATATGGCTGTAAGATGTCCAATATATTCTAGCTAGACTAGCATTTCTAGTTACTTAAATTGTATGCTAAATATTTAGATGTAATGCTCATGGCCAACAATTGTTTAGCTGCAGACCAGCAAGTAAGTATATGGCCGTATGCGAGCATTGAAGTAGCGAGCAATGCTAGTGTAATCTGTGTGTGTGGAAGTGTACACAAATGCACACCTGCATTCAAACATCAACATATATGAACACATACTCCATTCAAAAACATGCTTACATTACATACATAGTTACATAGTTACATAGCTGAAAAGAGACTTGCGTCCATCAAGTTCAGCCTACCTCACATTTGTTTTTTGCTGTTGATTCAAAAGAAGGCAAAAAAAAAAACAGTTTGAAGCACAATTTTGCAACAAGCTAGGAAAAAAAATCCTAGCATTAGTCTTGTAGTGTAGTCTAGTAGTCTTGGATGATAAACTACTTCTCTGATAAAGTCCAGCTGGACAGAGGTTTATAGTATAAGAGTTTGTTGTAACAAATGTGTAAAGTGTGAAGAGGGAATATAAGTAAAATATACCCCAAATAAGAAGATAGAGAGGATATGATTTAATTTCACCTTAGTATTCTGCATGCAGTAGTGTATCTGAGATCCATTTAGGACCGTGGATTACAGACATGATTTTGAGTATCCGGGATCAGTAGCATCAGTAACATATTGAGTTGAGGTTAAAGATAGTCCTCTTTTAAATATGTACAAGCAAACCAAAAAGCCTCACAGCTGCCTTATAGGACATAACCCTTAAATTAGGAATCTCAAAATTAGTTTGAACCCCACAGGGGAGACGAAAAATGAAGGAAGCTATAAAATAACACATGCCCTTTGTTTAGTGATTTCTTCATATGTTACTTGCCTTTCATCTATTTAGGACTTTAATAGGTACATATACATAGTTAATTTATCATTGTCATACCCCCCTCTTCGATTTCATTGTACCATACCTAACTTTAAGTTTCACAGTGTGTGTAGTGTGTGTAGTGTGTAATGTTCTTTGGTGAGTGGACATATGTACCTTATTTTTATAGCATCCTTCACTTTTTTTGGGGGGGGAGGGGTCAAACGTATTCAAAGGTGTCTCTGCCCTCTACTCTTTAGGTGGATCCTCTTGTTTATATAAATTGCTTTTCCCTATATATCACCTTACCTACATAGATTTATCAGTTTTCTTCACACCCTTTTCTGTCTATATACTGTGATCTCAGCGCTTACTAGCAGGGCCAGATTAATTTGGGGCTAATGGAGCCAAAGCTGCAGGCCCATGCTCCTGAAATAGGCCCATAGATTAAAAAATAAAATAAGGTATGTATATATTTTTAATACTCTTCACATCTTCACATGCTCTTGCTTTTTGGAAAGAGACAATTACATATGGGAACATAGAAGGGATGCAGGGGAACAAAACTAATGTGGACTGGCTGGCTATCAAACAGTTAACAAAAAGCTGACTTTGCCCACTGTTTAAATGGTCTTTCTATTTCAGCCTTTCTATTGTGTGTCATGTTCCCTTTTTGCTACACTCACTACATTCTACACTACAGCCTTTTTCTCTGTCCCATACTGCATACTAGGAGCTATTGCTTGCTAGTAAGAAGGGAAGGAGAGGAGTGGACAAATACTGAGGGACACCAGGAAACTGTCTCCAGAGTGAGTGCATCATTACAAGTATTTGCACCAAGCTTAGGATGCTGAAACAGTGCTGTCTGCATAGTCCTCTTTTAATTGGCGTGCATGATTGGCAGGCAGCCTGTCATGCATTCCAGTTGGATTTGCCCCTTTGGCCGGTACTAGTGGTTTCGTCTGCGTCACTGGCCAACTTCCTTTTATCCCCCCACTTCCCCCACTAGTGTCCCACTTCACCCACTTCACAGTACGCAACTGTTAGGGGTATGGATTTCTTTGAGAGATAAAAAGTGAGAGATTTGCACAGGGTATGTTATATATTTGTCCTGTGGGTTTCCCTCCAACACTAACTCCACCAGATACAAGACACTAGGCAGGTATGACTGTTTACTGTTTTATGTTGATAAGATTCTGTGATTATGCCTATAAGAATTTTCAGCAATAGACCCAAAAGGCTCTTAATCTGGCTCTGCCTACTAGACAGCTCTCATATCTCCTCATAAGTACATTCAGTGTCAAGATATCCAACCATTGTTCATCTAGGATTACACTGCCATCAACTGTTTAATTGCAGTACTTATACTTTCATACACTGCTTAAGTATTCCCTTTGCAACTTTGTTTCTTTTGTTAACTCAACACATGTTTCTTACATATGTAAATATCTCTTCAGTTACATAGATGTTACCACTTAGTTTTCTGGTTCGCTTTCTACAGAAAACATCCTTATAAAGAATTTGGAGAATTACACGTGATCCATAACTCACTTCATTGACACTTTGATCCCCAGTACTCCTGTAAATGATATTATACCCTATTTTCATACCGTGGATCTAATTGGGGTAAGTTTTACTTATATTCACTTTTCACACTTTATACATTACTGAAGAGTGGTAAAAATAAATAAATACATATTTAATAAAAAATATTTGGGTTTTGACCATGTGAGGAGGTGAAATGTAGTTTTTCTTGTTTTCCTTGTGTTGATTTGAGTTACTTGAGTTAAAAGAAAAGTCATCTATAAACAAATCGAAAGGATACCAGTGCAGTCCTAAAATACATGTGATTATTACTAAAATAAAAAATATACAATTTTGTTTTTGTAGTAAGGTATAAATGAAATTTAGTTCCACAACTGAGTTGCTGCATGAATTTTTAATAGTACATTGTTAAAAGCATTTACCTTTATAAAAATCTCAGCTCATTTACACAGTTCTAAGACATGGTCTCTTTGTAAACAGGAAATGACAGCACAGTTATCCATTTACATTAGCATACCATAATTCAGGTCAGGATGTGGGCAGGCCTGAAGGGGCATTGCCAGTGACGCCACTTGAATTACTGACAATGCTCAATCTGGGCAGTGTTGCCTAGAAATTGACATGGACACTCAATGAAGTAGGAATTAAGTGCTACCTGGGAGTATTTAGACATTTTATGTTTCATATTAATTAAAGGGACACTCTGGGCACCGATACTACCTTAATTCATTTGATAGATTTTGGCCTTATCAATATACTGTATTTTATGCATGCTCAAATATTTATGCTTTTATAGTTTTATAAGTATGATGAAAAATGTTTTGCAGAATGCTGCACGATAAGCCTGTTTCTTTAGTCACACACCCTCACTCAAGAAAAATACTTCTTAATCAAAATGTATGTACACAGCTCGGCCACTGACTAAAGAGGGTACTCAGAGAGGTATATAGTAAGGATAACACCAACTGTATGTAGTTTCTCTGACTGTCCACAAGCCAGGTTGTGAATTAAAAGCCTCTCACTCGGTGCTGTTGGGGCTGAGACTGTGTACATACTTTTGATAAGGAATTCTTGCTTGCATGGGGGAGTGTGGCTAAGGACGCAGCATTTTGAAAGACTTTTTTGTGTGAAAAAACTATAAAGATTTAAGAATGCAAATAAATACAGCAAATTAATGAGAACAAAATCAAATGCATTAAATTTGTATTGGTGCCCACGATGTCACTTTAACTGAATGTTGCCAGGAAACCCGGGCAAGTGCCAGTAACTTCATACCAGTAGCCCATAATTTGACGTACCATACCTTGAGAGGTTTGGATTAAGGATGGGTGTGCAGTTGGGTGTCACCAATGATGTAACGTGCATTATTATTATTGGTATTAATATAGCGCCATCTAATTCCACAGCACTTTATAATATTGTGAAAGGGGGGGAAATTTACAATACATTAGACAATTACACAGTAACACAGGAACAATAGGTAGATGAGGACCCTGCTCAAACAAGCTTACAGCCTAGATAAGTGGGTACAAATGCACAACAGGGCAGCAATGGTGACAGCCACCAAACAAGGTGGCTGTCTCTGGCGATGCCAACAATGGGTGGATGCGGCCCTGAAGTGGCATGTCAGCCTGGCATTAATCACTCCAATCTGACAGACAGCCTCCCAGCTGCTCTTCTACATGCAGGACAATGCAGGGAATGCTTCTGAAACACTCTCTGCATGGTCCTAGTGCCCACCACAGAGCACAAGTGAAGCTAATGATGTATTTGTGTTGTACTGTGGGACACCAGGAACTAAATTAGGAGGCAGGGCCAGGACCCCAAAATAGGGACTATTCCCCCAGAAGCAGGACAGCTGGAAGGTCTGACATACTGCTTGGCAGCTTTTTCAAACCCTGTCCAAGAAAATGCAGAATGTCTTGAAGAAGCATTGTTATCTAAACACACAGTAAACTACTAACCATCTTAGCGACACACATCATAAATCATTTGTATTCAGCTTTATGGGGAATTTGTTTCTGAGCAGATTCTTTGAGTACCAATGTAGAGAAGAAGGCGTTGCAAGCATTTTGAGAACATTGTTAATACCTAATGGTGCAAATATATGGCAGTCTAGCACAGCAATGGAAAGAGTACCATTTCCCATCTGTACAAAAAAAGTAAAATAAAAGAAATTCTCAGTAACAGTGTGATGCCCAATAAAATATTATAACATATGACATATATGATGATGTCTATTTCAAATAAAAGCTGCCATTATATTATTTTAATAAAAAAAAATATTGCATATGCTATAGCTTCTGATTGTACAAATTAATACAGAAAGACACAATATGTGCAAACTTTTATTTGATATTACTAATTATGTCAAAAAATAAAATAAATAGCATTTATTTTAAAGAAAATACTTCAAAGGAAAATTCCCAACATGATAAGAATTTTTTTTTTTAATGAAATGGACATTTCTTCCTACTCTGCAATTTTGATGTAAACTTTCTACAATATAGCTTTGGAGGATATACCCTATTGCCTTTTATACTAATAACTAATACAGTTAGCAATACTTTATTCTTTATTTGGGTTCTACTTTTACTTACTGCGAATATTGAGGGCGGTGCACCTATGTAAAAAATTTTTAGGGTTCCCCCATGCCCAGTTGGTAAAATCCAGTCGACTACCATCTACATTTCTGAGTGGACATGTCTGAGAAGAATTGAGATAAACCATAGAGACACAGGTCAGTGGAAAAATAATACACAATCAAACATGTAAAGTTCTATTTCAACAGCAGCAATAACAGGCTACAGTGAATACGGTCATTTTAACTCTGTAGATCAATCTGTATTCAATCATATGGAAAGATTATTAAATTGATGCCAAAGTCTATTCTGATAAACAATGTAAAAAGTTTTTCTAACAGAGGTCTTGATTTCAAACCTCTATTAATTTTTTTTTTTTTTATTAGTCCTCAATTTAGTATTTTTGTACTTGTGATTCCACTATGTGAAAAAAGATTTAACTGTAGTCACCATTGAAATCTATGGGAACTTTGGTAGATAAATCATTTGGAAAGTTTTTGTAAAAGACTGGAATCATTTGGAAAGTTTATTATATATCAAGGTCAGATTGTAATAATTTGAAAAGCTTATCCAAATAAATTAAATCAACTCACTCTCCCTTTCCCTCCTTTTCTGTGATGCCAACGCTGAGAGCATCGTCTGAATCGACAAATGAACGAATCACACAGAAGAATTCCATTTGTTGAGTGATTTGATCATTGAATTAATCAGACATTTGTGATTTTACGAATACAAATGCACAAGTCGATTTCTTAGACTTGACAAAGATCTCATAGTGAGACCGAAACGTTGTCACTTGTTTTTCTCCTGAACCAATCAAGCTGCTTGGATTTTTACAAGTCTAGTTCTTAAACATTTGGAGTTGTACCTTTTAGGCACCCATGATGTACAAGACCATTTAAATATTATTTATCTGCTTTGGTTATGATGCTTAGAGTGTTCCTTTAAATAGTTTGATTTCTTGCTTTGCGAGGGAGCTAGCATGAGCACTCCTAGCACCATAGCCACTACAGAAGGCCTTATAATGCTGGCTTTGATTTTAAGCCATAGAACTCTTACTCCTATCCTTTAATTAGTAATGGGACACTGAACTTGATTCAATTTTTTTGGATAAACTTTTTCAAATGGTTTAATATTTTTCGATCACCTTTTCAAATGATGAATCTACCAAAATACCCATAGGCTTAAATGGTGACTTCTGTAGATAAACAATTTGAAAAGCTTAACCAACATATTAAATCAGGGCACAAATCTGAAATTATAATTATTGATGTACAATTGAGTATTATATATACATCTATGAAATCGCAATAAACATAATATTGTACTGGAGGCAAAAAAAAAGAAAAAAAGAAATGTATGAATAAAGTTAAAGCGATCAAAGTGGACATGCCTGGCAAGTTCAAAGAAAGTGAGACATTTAGTGCATGTATATGAACAATAAGATGGCATTTTGAAGTAAATGGTATAAGCCAGTGCTTAGCATGGAGAAAATAGTCCCTAACTAATAAATGTATTTAAATTAACACTCCAAGCACCTTAACCTAGCTTGCTGTAGTGGTTATGATGCCAGGAGTGCCCTGACATCCGCCCTAATGTAAGTAGTCAAACTGTTTTTTAAAGGTTTGCCTTTTAACTTGGGGCTGCTGGACGCCACTCCCTGCCTTTACTACTAATGCCAAAGAACAGGAAATACCTAAGCAGAAATTTTTTAGCTCTTCTGAAAGTGCAGAGCTTAGCTCAGACATTAGTAGGTAAAAAGTCAACTGGTCAAACATGGTTTGCCTTCTTACCATTGTAATCACTAAAACAGCAATTTTAAGCAACTGACAAGGAACTTACACATTTTGGCCAAGATAGCTTAACTGGGAAACTGTACAATACATCTACACAATTTTGGTTTTGAATTTTAATTTCCTCTGGGAATTCCTAACATTTTACTATTTAGTGATTCAAGTTAAATCATGTAATTAGATTCTACTTACCCATCCATTTCTCCTCACACCAATCCAGATGAATCTCACATGTCTGTTTACACGACTCACGAAGTGTTCAATGAAATTATTGGTGTTAATATTGTGAATAGAACTGAGATTCCCATGGTAGTGTCTGCACCATTTCTGTGAACAACAAATGAATAATTTATACCATTGATACTGATTTCATGACAAAATATATCCAAAATGCAACTGTGCTTTCAGTGGGAAGATGTAGAGAAGAGTGAAGGAAGTAGAATCTGTAATAGTGTGTTATTATGTAAACTCCAAATTTGGTACAAAATAATCAAAAACTGCCACTATTTACTTAAATGTTTCTATTTTGTAAGTGGCATTAGTTATCGATTACTTATTTTTGATTCTATATTATCTGCTCTCTATATTTGTCTATCAATTATATTATTATTATTATTCACCATATTTTTTATCATTAGATTTTGAAATCTTGTTGTTTCAAGATGAAAAACTCTGTAGGCTTATAAGGAGACACTAGGAGTCCCTCAGCCAAACAGTTGGAATGGAAGAATGTTTCTGTCCTTGCCCATAGAATGTTAGAAAATGGTGGAAGCCCCAATGTACAGATGAAAATATAAGCCACAATAATTTCACTGGCATAGATTACAGATATCTGTTTGATTATTTTAAGGGTCATTCACTAAAGTGTGAATTTCACAGTTTTTAACAGGAAAACTTTTTCTACATATTAAGTGCAGGTATATTAGCCACTTAATTAACCTTACAATTAAGACTTAAGTGATTAATTATTTGTGTTAAAATTATCTATTTCAAAATTGAACAATAGAAAAACATTAACTTCAAAGCTTAAATATATTACATTATAATTAATAACATACAAAGCAGCACACACTAACCTGAGCTCTATAAAAGTTAGTACTACAGCTGAAGAATCTGTAGTAACATCTCTCATCCCCCAAACCTATTTTGGGATATGCGGTTGTGTCCAATGCCATAGAGATATTTTGGCATTCTTCAGAATTTCCTTCACTTTGAAGGGAAGTCTCTGTATTTTCTTGGGCATCGCAATCGTCCTCATAGTCTTCCCCTAGAAGATATATATAGGTCAATAAAAATGTTTTTTAAAATTATTAATGAAATTGTGATTTTTGGGGAATTCTAAATTAATTCAATGTTAATTTCAAATTTTAAGACAGAATAGCCAAATTACACAAGTTCTTAGTAAGCACTATTTTTTTTATCAACTATTTGTGTCTAAAATTTGAAATTATATTGAATTCCCAACAATCCACACTTAGTAAATAATAATACTGCTATAAAAATAAAAACACAATATTAAATTTACTTATTAACTCACCAATTGTTTGAGCAGAGACAGATCCGACCAAGAACACCATTAACAAAAGTGTAAACATCTTTGCTAGAAAAATAAATATAAGCTGTTAAAACAATATTCATAAAGTAAGAAGTTGAAATTTAACTGAAATAAAATTTTTCCTGACCTTCTCAGTTGGTTTCTGCTTTATAGTGATTTTGACTTTCCACAAAGCACAGCAGCTTGTCTTCTTCAAGTAACTGCATCTATTGGTTTTATACAACAATTTTGGGAAGTTGTGGTTTGAATATCAAAAAGGAACAATTACAGTTCTGAAAAAGGTTGTGCATGCACCCATCTTATCTGAAGAACTATCTTCAGATTAGACATTCTCTTTTGTGATGAAAGAATGTGTGCAGGGAACTGAATTATCTGTGAGTTTATTTTGGCAGATAAGACTTTTTTTCTTTGCTTCTAGAGAATTTTTGCAAAGAGGACTACATTTATATTTATGTTTAAAACGAAATAACATTTAAAACAGAAAAATACTGATAAAATACATATAACTCAACAATCCATTTGATTTCAGTTTACAGTTTGTATATTTTTCTTTTTTTTTTTGAATATTTAATCTTTATTTTAAATTTTTTTCTTTTAAATCTCATTAAATACATATATCATACAAATACAAATATCATACAAATATACATTTGTGATACAAACAAACAACACAGCAGCAAAATAGGGGAGGGAGAAGAAAAATACATCAGAAAGACTTCCATAGTAGAGTGGTAACATCATTTAGATAAATCTCGTAATTATTTACAATGTTCATGGAATTGTTCTACTACTAATTGAGCGACACTATTTTATACATCAATCATCTCAATACACTTTAACCAAACAGAAATCTTATTGCTTAGTCTTTGTTTACTTAGCATCAGCTCCATTCTAATCTGAAACTCGAGTTGAGTTTTAACTTTCTTCCAGGGGACTTCTGAATCCCTTTTCCACCATCTCGCAATTACTATTTTAGCCACTAAAAACAGATGTATAAGAATTGCTTTTAATTCATATGTCATATGAGGCCAATTTAGATGAAGTAGAACTACCTCTGGAGAGATAATCAACTCGAGTTTTAAATTGTTAGATATAAAATGCTGCATTTTCAACCAGAGATTTTTTAATTTATAGCAATCCCACCAAATATGTCTAAAATTGCCTCTAATACTATTGCATCTCCAACAGATAGGGTTTACTAGAGGGTAAATTTTATTCAATTTAGCTGGTACTAAGTACCACCTATTTAAAACTTTAAAGTGCGTTTCTAATAAATTTAATGAATGTATATTCTTCTTAACATCCATCATTGAAGAACCCCATTGATTTAGATTTATATCGATATTCAAGTCTTGTTTCCAAGCCTGTATGGCAGTAGGATTTGTGTCTTTAGCTATTGATTTAATTAGTATTAGAGCTTTAGAAAGTGGTTTATTAACTTTTTTTGATGTAAATAATAAATCTATCGAATTGCTTAAATTAGATTTTGGTATTATTAGATGTGTATTAATATAGCTTTTAAGTCTTAGAAAATTAAACACCTCTCTAGGAGGGAGATTATGTATCTTTGTTATTTGAGCAAAGGTTTTAATTAGTCCTTCTGTCAATAATTGGTCCAGAGTCGTTATCCCTACTTTTTTCCAATTATTTAAGTTTAAGTCTTCCACTTGTTTTTCTACAATATCTAACTCTAAATAACTTGGAACTTTTTTTTCTATATTCATTACTTTTTTAATTTTTAACCAATTTTCCAATAATTGAGTTAGAATAATACTGGCATATTCTTTTTTCTTTGGCATTTTATTTATATTCCAAATTAGACAATCTAAGCTAGAAACTTCTCCTGCCTTCAATTCCATTTTATACCATCCCTCATCTTTATTTTCTTTCATTTGCATTCTATAGACATGTAGGGTAATAGCTGCTTTAAAGTTATTCATTATGAGTGGATAATCAAGTCCACCTTTATATATTTTCTGCGCTAATATTGACTGTTTCAATCTCGGCTTCTTGCCTTTCCAGATGTATTGAGTAAAACTTCTTTGTATTAATTGAAGCCAATGGATTGGGATATGGAGAGGTAACATTTGAAACATATAATTCCACTTTGGTATAACATATGAATTGATAACGTTTATTCGCCCCAAAAAAGTAATCTCTAGATTTCTGCGATCTTTTAACCATTTATTGAGATCTAATAATAATGTTAGGAAATTTACTTCCATAATCTTATTTGTCTCTCTGGTTATTTTAATTCCTAAGTAATCCATACTTTCTTTAACCCAAATAAAATCATATTTGTTTTTAATCTCTCGTTGTATTCTTTTATTTAGGTTAACATCTAATATCAAGGATTTATTTATATTTAACTTATAATTTGATATGAAGCTATATCGCTCTATTTCTTGCATTATGCGTTCCAAAGAATTTTTAGGGTTTGTAAGAGTAATTAAAATGTCATCAGCATATAAGCTAATTTTTTGATCCTCATCCATTATTTTATAACCATGAATCTCTTTATTATTCCTAATATTCTCAGCCAATGGCTCGATAGTCAGCAAGTAGAGCAATGGTGAGAGGGGACAACCCTGTCGGTTACCATTTCTAAGTTGGAACCATGGGGCGACTATATTAGGTCCAATAGTTCGTGCAACAGGATTTACATATAGTGCCATTATAGCTTTCTTAATCCAACCTTCCAATCCATAATGTTGTAAAACGGCTTCTAAATATTTCCAGCTGACTCTGTCGAATGCTTTTTCAGCATCAATCGACAGAGTCAGAACTGGAACATCATATCTATTTGCATCATCCAAGATATTAATAATTTTCCTTATACTTGTATAGGAATTTCTACCTGGAACATATCCTATTTGATCTTTATGGATGATTAGTGGAAGAAGTTTTTTTATTCTAGCAGCCAAAACCGAAGCGTATAACTTAGTGTCAACATCTATTAAAGATATCGGACGGTAGTTTTTAATATCAGTGGGGTTTTTATCATTTTTTAGAATAGGCAAGATATTAGCTTTTAGCATCTCTGCTGGTAAAAATCCTCTGTTTGCCGCTATGTTGAAAGCAGAGGTCAAATGTGGACATATTAAATCTTTAAATGTTTTATAAAATAGGTTGCTAAACCCATCCGGGCCTGGTGTTTTAGATCTTTCTAAATCATTTATTGCTTTCATAGTCTCCTCCATAGTTATAGGTTTATTTAAGAAATCATTTTCAATAGAAGTTAATTGAGGCTTCTTTATATTATTTAAATAGTTTTTAATATCCTCATCTGTATTAATCTGAGGAATATTGTATAGATTGGAATAATATTCATTAAAACACTTTCCAATCTCTTTGGGGGTTAGTGCTATTTTTCCATTCTGTATTATTTTGTCTACCTTATTTTGTACTTTTTGTTTTCTAAGTTTTTGGGATAGCATCTTTTCAGCTCGATTGCCTTTGGAATAATATTTAAATTTTAATCTAACCATATTTTTAGCTATCGTATCCATTAATTTTTGCTTTATTTTTTCTTTAAGTTCTAATATTTTTTCATAAATTTCAGGAGATGGAGATTGTTTATTGATATGAGTCAAATCTCTTAATTCTGTATGTAAAAATGCCAAAGTATTATTTTTATCAAGTTGACTTTGTAACTTGATAATATGACCTCTTATAACGGCCTTAAAGGCACACCACAAAATAGATGAATCAATATTTTCTGAGATATTTTCTTTAAAATTATTTTTTATATTATCTCTTATATGAGTTTTTTTTAATTCACAACAAAGCAAATTATCTCTTAACCGCCAAGTATAAGCTTCTCTTTTAAATGAACTAAAAATCATTTCACAAAAAACTCCATCGTGGTCTGTCCATACTATCTCGTCAATCTTTGTTTTTTTGGTCATATCAATAATACTTGGGTCGACCCAAATCATGTCTAATCTTGAATAGGAAAAATGCACTTTAGAAAAATGCGTATAGTCTCTCTCATTAGGATTAAAAATTCTCCAAATATCGAATAGATTATATTCATCTTTAATTTTTTTTAAGGCTTTTGCTTGTTTTATAACCATCTGATTTAAAGTATTTCCTTTCATTAATTTTTTATCTATCTGAGGGTCTAGTACAGCATTGAAATCCCCTGCCACTATTAACTTTCCCACTTTAACTTCATCTACTTTTTCCAGAATTGTTTTTAAATAAGCAACTGGTAAATGATTAGGAAGATATATATTACATAATGTAAAAAGTACAGAGTCAATTTTACATATTATTATTAAATACCTGCCTTTAGTGTCTTGTATTTGATGAATTACTTCAACTTTAATCTTTTCTCCAAATACCACAGCTACTCCACATTTTTTTTTTTCCTTATTGGAAGCTTGAATTATAAGTGGAAATCTTTTACCCCCCCAATTTTGTTTATCCACTTGTCTCCAGTGAGTTTCTTGTAAGAATATTAAATTCAATTGTTTTTCACTGAGGTATTTGTACAATAGATTTCTTTTCGCTATAGTATTCAATCCCTGAACATTAAGTGTAAGCATTTTTATCATATTATTTTCAAAAACCTCCCTGCATCCCTTTCCACTCGATAACCATTACCCTTCCCTATTGCTGCATAAACATATCTACACAAACACATAAAACAAAATATTAAAATCATAGGAGGAAATCCTCCTTTTTTATCACAAAGACTGTAAATTTTCATATAGAAATTCAGTCTTTACTGTGTCTTTAAATTAGACACTAAGTGGGCGTATCCAGAAAGAGGTAGTAATATTTACAAGTTTGCAATCTCTCTCCAAGAGGGAGAGAGAGAGAGAAAGAAAAAAAAAAAAAAAAAAAAAACTTTTATACTTAACTCCATTAACTTTCAATTCTGTGTCTTAAGTGGATCTATATCCTCTTATCTTACCAATACATATGAATAATTTACTTTTAGCCACCTCTTTAAATTAAAAACTGATTAATACTTAAACATATTTGCTTTTATCTACTTTTTTCCAGATAATTAGTTAGTACCCTTAAGGTGAG